CCCGGTGTTCTGCAAACAGTGTGCTCCCGGAGACCACAGGTCCTGCATCCACTGAGCTGATGCCCGCGTGTGCTTAGCGCTTGTCAAAGGCTCACAACTGTTGAGCTTAAAATAAAACTGCCCTTATTTCCCCGCAAAAATAGCTTTGTTCAGGACTAGCAGAGAATTGCAATCCGGGCCAACCAAATAACAGCTAAGACCACACGTGAATCTGCAGAACAAACGAGGGGAGGCTCTTTTATAGAGGAACGGGGGGTGGGGTGGGCTGTTAGAAACAAAGTCCATTGGGGTAAACTGAGAGCTGGAAGTGTAGTGGATGCTCAGTGGCTGGGCTGTGGCAGTGTCTCATTGGCCGGGCTGTGGCAGTGTCTCATTGGCCGGGCTGTGGCCGTCTCTCATTTGGCCGGGCTGTGGCCGTCTCTCATTGGCCGGGCTGTGGCCGTCTCTCATTTGGCCGGGCTGTGGCAGTCTCTCATTGGCTGGGCTGTGGCAGTCTCATTGGCCGGGCTGTGGCCGTCTCTCATTGGCTGGGCTGTGACTGTCTCATTGGCCGGGCTGTGGCCGTCTCTCATTGGCTGGGCTGTTGCTGGGGGAGGAGGAAACCTTCCTTCTTCCTGCTGGGATAGTTGAGTGTAGCTATGGCAGCATCCAGGAGCGAGGTGCTTCTCTTCCTGTTGGGTCTGCAGCTGACCGGGAGTGGTCAGAGCTCCTCCTACCTGCCTCCAGACTCCGTTCTTTTTTTTTTTTTTTTTAATTTTTTTTTTAAAGATTTTATTTATTTATTTGAGAGAGAAAGAATGAGAGAGAGAGAGCATGAGAGGGGGGAGGGTCCGAGGGAGAAGCAGACCCCCCGCCGAGCAGGGAGCCCGATGTGGGACTCGATCCCGGGACTCCAGGATCATGACCTGAGCCGAAGGCAGTCGCCCAACCGACTGAGCCACCCAGGCGCCCTCCAGACTTCGTTCTAAACGAAGTTTCCTGTTGTTAATTTTCACAACAGTAACAGTAGTTGTTCAATCAAGACGATTTCTAGAGTTTTATTTTATTAATGATGAACAAATTGAACTCGTGGCACGTGCCCTTTTACTTTGTTTCCATGTATCTCTGTATTTGAAGAAAACCGCCACTATGCTATAAATAACAAAAAACGCTGCTGGATATGGTCATAATACACGGGAACAGCATTTATTTGTAGAGCACTCTGGCACATTGTCATTGTATCTTCCCAACAGTCTTTTGAGGGACCATGTCTATTTATAGTTAAGAGAGATTGTCTCTTGTCACCTTCCTCGTGAGTGATGGTTACTGATCAGGTCTTGTGTTCTGTGCTTTGTGCCTCACTCTTTCCCGTAACAGGAGGGAAAACCTGACTCTTGACTTGGCAGTTTTACTGTTCTGTTACATTTCTCAAGAGCTCTTCCTTGATTAAACAGGATGACATTTCCACCTGTCTGGAATGCTGTAGTTGGAAATTATTAAGGGAAATGGATGTTTAGCTGTGCTTTGGATCTCTTTTTCTAGCGAATGCGTTGTGGAATGAAAAGTGGATGATGTTATCCACTGTAAGGAGAAGGCAGTTGGTGTGTAGAATAACGGTGGGAAGGAAACACTTTGGACCTACACTTTTTCAGTAGTGAATTGGCTCATACAGGCCATTAGACAGTACAGATTATTGCTATCATGTTTTAGATTTTTCAGTAGCAAGAAGGATCTTTCAGTCATTCCAGAAATATATATTGAGTCCCAGATGTATACACACTTCTTAGTTGTGTGCTAGACACACACTCCGGGGAACAAATTGGATTTTGAAGTCCTTGTTCTCAGGAAACCTTTAACCTAGAGGCTAGAAGGGTAGCGTGCAAATGAACACAGAAGTGGAGATATACTTACCATTTACAGTAAGTGCTCAAAGGATAATCTCTTGTTTCCACCATTTTTGAAACATGGAGGTTAATTTAAAGTGAGAATGGCAGATCTTAACGTTTAAAAAAACCATTCATCTGTCTATGACCCACATTCTTCCAGATTGGAAATTTCTGCCTCATAGTATCTGTCTTTAAAAACAATAGTAACTAACAGACCCATTCCTGGAGACTCTCTTAGGCACATCAGCTTTTCTGAGGTCAGCTTTTCTGAGGTGGGGTGCATGGTGGGATGGCAGGCGATGGGGACAGACCTTAGATTCTTGCCCCAAGGCTAATGAGTCATATTATCTTGAAGAATGTTTAAGGGAACACTAGGGAGTGAGCCAAAGTTCTTTTTGCTTTGGTTCCCTTACTCTGCCCCTTCCCTGATCAAGAACATTGCTCCTGATGCCTTCTGATTGGGTTGGAGCTGTTTCCCAAGACCATGGTATATTTAGACCCTACTGAAGTTCCAGTCATACCAGGGTTTAGGAAACCCTCACCTGTGGCCGGGCCAACCCCTGCTGTTCTCTTCATCTGACTCCGAGTGTGCCCAGCAGGCTGTCCATGCACGGCCTCACTCCCCAGGAGAGGCTGGCTAACTGGCAGGACCCAGCGGGGAGTGAGGGCATAGTGGGAGACAGAGAGTCACCAGGAGAAAGCAGGGTACTGCAATGCAGGCATGAGCTGGGATGAGAGGAGGGTCAGGTGGTGAACCACGGACCAGGCAGAGGTTCAAGCCTCAGGGTCCGGAAATCAACTTCTCATGGTCATTCACGCCTCAGTGACAGGCTGGGAAATGGGATCCAAATGGCAAGTGCTTTTTTTTAACAAGAAGAGGATGGACATGCAACCAGCAAAATGAGTTTCTGGTGGCCCAGAGCATGGACGTATGAGATCACTTTTAAATGGCTTGAGAGCACAACGAATGGTATGTAAGCTGTGCCCGAGTCAGGAGGCTGCGGGGTGGAAGACTGTGCAGATGTAAGAAGACAATCTCACTGATTTTAATGTCAGCATTCGTTGGACCCTCCTGTATATGCTGACCTTCCTTCGTGTTCCTGGCTTGAGACCGTGATTAGATCATTACTTTGCAATCCAAAAGGAACTGAAAAGATCACTAGGAAATCCCTTCGCTTAACAGTTGAGGAAGCCACATCCTGGAGGCTGAGTGGCTGACCAGTGATGAGGCATTGTCCAGTGTCCTTCACACAAGGCCCGCGCCCATGCTTGGACACCTGTGAAGAGAGCCTTTACGTTGATCAAAAGCCTGTAGAAATCGTTTTTGAAGGAAGGTGCAAGAAACAACAACACATTGTGGCCTAACCACATTGTGGTGGTGCCTGATACTCGTATGTATCCAGTGTCCAGTGTACGGGGCAGGGCAGGGCGAGCAAGGGTTCTTTGCACTTTGTTCTAGCTTGTCATTTAGCTTCTGTGTGACCCACTGAACTTTGCTAGTCCTCAAGACCGGCACTCTGTCTACAGCTGCTTCCCCGAGCTTTTGTGGCCCGGATAGGAGATGGTGCCTGCGCCATGCGTGAGCACAGTCGTGGCGTGCGTGGCGGGCACTGGGTGCATTACTGACATTACTCCTGCTGCCGCTGGTACAACACACTTCCTTTCTGAGCCGGCTGACCCGCAGTGCGTGGTGACAGCTGAGTGGACGGTTGGCCCACAGCCGGCTTTCTGACCAGCTCTGTAGCCCACACTTGGAGCAGTGAGGTTTAGGACATCCCGGGAGACATTTAAGTAATTTGGGGGGCAGGTGTTGTGTTGCTGTTGAGCGTAAGCCTACGTAAACAAGGAGGCTGGGGAGGTTCCATGTTAAGGAAGGCTACTTTGTTTTCAATAACATTTATAAGGATTTTTTTTAATACAGAAAAGAATAAAGGGAAAAACAGAAATGCTCACCATCCCACCCAGATAGCGCAGGAGCATATGCACATGGCTGGAAGATGCAAATGCCGAAGCCACCTGCCCCTTTGCCGCTGATTCCTCTCCCCAAGGGGACCATGACCGTGGTGGCATGGCTGGCCCCACAGGAATGTTCCTCTGCAGCCACTCAGGGTGTGAGCTGTTAACAGGCTCACTTCTCATCTTTTCCTGACGGTGTGGGTTTGGACCTGAGCAGGTTTTACACTAAATGCGGCCTCTGGGGGTGCTGGGAGGGCTCACTTCAGCTAGCTCCTGGTTCTGTCTCTTTACGGAGCTTTCCCGAGTTCAGCTGCCTTCCATCCGCTGTTGCTCTCCTGTGGAGGTTCTAGGAATCTGGCCACAAATGGAGGGGTGATGCTCGGGGGACACGGGGTGTTGTGATAGGGCCACATTTGAAACCAGAGTTAGATATAAATCCTCTGAAAAGCAATTTTTTTTCAAAGGGAAGAAGCAAGCAGTTTGGAATATCACATTTAAGATATTTTATTCTTTAGTGATCTGTATTTATTCAAAGCCTGTGTACCCCTCCCCCAGTCACGGCTGTTAATTACATGCTTCCTGCTGCAAGGCCTGAGCTCCCCTAACCCTGCCTCACTGGGGAAGTGGGTGCGTGTGGATCACACCACAGTACAGGGGAGGAAACTGAGGCCTAGAGCAGTTCAGGTCACGCAGCAGAAGAGTGGCAGAGCTCGGATTTGAATCCATGCCTGTCTGACCCCCAAGGCTGAGTTATTCTGGTTTGGGAAATTTTCAGTTGTTGACATTTTAGTATATGTGCTGCCGAAGCGAGCACTCAGTTGTTGACATTTTAAAACGTATATGAGTGATAAGAGAAACTGAGCCGAGATCATTAAGGACTAATTCCTTACTACGGGGCTGTACCTTCCATCACTGAACTGTCTCAGATCCGCAGCCTGGACAGAGCACACTGCTGTCACATGCACGGTGTTGGTTGAGGTGAATCCTTTGTGGCGCCCTCGTCCTTCCCAGTGACGGCGTGAAGGACTCATGACTTGACCCACAAAGGATGGTTTTGTTATCCCCTGTCCTTGGTGCTGCTCATAGTGGAGACATCTGTGGTTATTTCTGCTGGGTGCTGATGAATCAGTGTCACCTTCTGAATAATTGAGCTTTTTGTTGTTGTCTCTTCCTTTGTAGAGACTTAAAGCCTGAGAATATTCTCCTTGATGACCGTGGTAAGTGAGTGAGCTTTCACATCTAAAGCATAACACTTTGTTAAGAGGGACTTGGTTACAGAAAGTTGATGTGGGCTTAGCCCATTGTTGCAGGACAAACAACAACAAAAAAGAAAACTCTTTGGTATGTGTTCTTTGGAAAACATAATAGAGATAACATGGTCATTCCCCTTTATTTAGACAAGAAGCAGAGTTGGTCATAATTTTCAGTTAATAATTACAGTTTTAGAAGCATATTAAAATAAATCCACAATAAGAACATTTTTCTCTCTCATATTTCTTGCTGTTGGTCCATATCTTGATTTTTCCCTTAGAGGTGTATTTCCACCTAGGAGCGCCTAAGAATTTTCTTTTTTAAAAAAATAACAAATGGTTGTTGAATTTTGTCAGTGCTTTTTCTATCAAGATGATTGTATGATGCTCCTTTTTTCTGTTAATATAGTTAATTTTCAAATGTTAAACTAACATTTGATTTCTGAAATAAATCCAATATGGGCATAATGAGTTATTCTTTACATAGATTGCTAGCTTCTGTTTTCTGACATTTTGAAGGTGAAGCTGGCTCTGTTTTTGAGGGCACTGGGTCTCTATGTCTCTGCAGTGCTGGGAGCACCAGAGTCCTGCTGCGTCTGTGTCCCTGCAGACTCTCCGGGGGCCCAAAAGTCTTGGCTTGGTTCCCAGCTGCTCCCAGCTTCAGCAAGAGTCCCAGGTGGGAGCAGCTGGAGAGCAGCTGTGTGCGGCCCCCCTCCCCCGCAAGTGAACAGCCTCTGGTTTGACCAGGGTTTGCAAATGCTTCTGAGAAAACACTTGGGCCCCTTGAGGCTCACTTCTGGTTGGTTCTCCACATAGGGTCTCAGTGCATCTGATCCAGGTGCTGCTGTGGCTCATGAATGCCCTTAAAGTAGAACTTGTGTGCCGTGGCTGGCAGTGGTAGCATGGCCACCACAACCTTTGCCACCCTGTCCCAAAGCACGTGCCAAGTGTCATTTCTGTGGTGCCTACTGTTACTTGTTCTTTAGATACTTGGACCTGGTCACATTCTTGTTAAGAATGGAAAGGAATGACAGAACTTTGTTTTGCTTTTCTTGATTTCAGGAGACTTTTAGTCTTTTTGTTTTCCTACTCTTTTAATTTTAAAAGTGTAATCCTGGCTATACTTTATGACTTATAAATGAATTGATTTTAGGTTTTTTAGTATCACTGAAATTACTTAAATTGCTTAAATTACTTATCACTTTATACTTAAAATTCACAAGAACTAATTTCCACCAGAAACCATAGAACATAAAAGTAACTCTTTCATTTCCCATCTAGACAGCTTGTTGAGGTTTCTGTTTTTGTCTGTAAAGCATAACCTGACATTTGTGGTGAAATTAGGTTTAAAAAGATGATTATCAAGAGAACTACAGACCAATATCTCTGATGAACATAGATACAAAAATCCTCAACAAAATACTAGCAAACTGAATCCAAGAATACATTAAAAAAATCATTCACCACAGTTAAGTGTGATTTACTCCCGGGATGCAAGGGAGGTTCAGTATTCACAAATCAATCAACGTAATATATCTCATCAATAAGAGAAAGGATAAAACCACATGATTATTTCAGTAGATGCAGAAAAAGCATTTGACAAAGTACAACATCCATTCATGATAAAAAAAACCCTCAACAAAGTAGGTTGAGAGGGAACATACTTTAATGTAATAAAGGCCATACATGAAAAACCCACAGCTAATATCATCCTCAATGGGGGAAAACTGAGAGCTTTTCCCCTGTCAGGAACAAGACAGGGATGTCCACTCTCACCACTTTTATTCAACATAGTACTAGAAGTCCTAGCCACAGCAATCAGATAAGAAAAAGGCATAAAAGGCATCCAAATTGGTAAAGAAGTAAAACTTTCAGTTTTTGCAGATGACATGATACTGTATACAGAAAACCCTAAGGACTCCACAAAAGAACTGCTAGAGCTGATAAATGAATTCAGTAAGGTTGCAGTATACATAATCAATGTATAGAAATCCGTTGCATTTCTATACACCAATAATGAAGCAGCAGAAAGAAAAATTAAGAAAACAATCCCATCTGTAGTTATACCAAAAATAATAAAATACCTAGGAATAAGCTCAACCAGGGAAGTGAAAAGCTGGTACTCTGAAAATTTTAAAACACTGACAAAAGAAATTGAAGATGATATAAACAGATGGAAAGATAGTCCATGCTCATGGATTGGAAGAACAGATATTGTTAAAATGTCTAAACTACCGCAAGCAATCTACAGATTTAATGCATTCCCTATCAAAATATCAACAGCATTTTTCACAGAACTAGAAGAAATAATCTTAAAATTTATATGGAACCACAAAGACCCCAAATAGCCAAAGCAATCTTGAAAAAGAAAAACAAAGCTGGAGGTATCACAATTCCAGATTTCAAGGTATATTATAAATCTGTAGTGATCAAAACAGTATGGTACTGGCACAAAAATAGACACACAGATCAATAGAATAGAATAGAAAATATATAGTATAGTACTGGGGGTGAAGAACAAACACACTTATCATGATGAGCACTGAGTAATAGACGGGAGTGTTGAATCACTATATTGTACATTCGAAACTAATACAACTCTATGTTAACTATACTGGAGTTAAGATAAAGTTTAAAAAAAGGCTGATTAGGGGCGCCTGGGTGGCTCAGTTGGTTAAGTCTTCTGCCTTCAGCTCAGGTCATGATCTCAGCATCCTGGGATCAAGCCCTGTGTCCGGCTCTCTGCTCAGCAGGGAGTCTGCTTCTCCCCCTCATTCTCCCTCTGTGCTTGCTCTCTCTCTCTCTCTCAAATAAATAAATAAAATCTTTTAAAAAACGCTGATTATCATCTGTTCTAGGTTGTTAGGTGCATTTACTGTTTGTCCATCCTAAATATGTCAGCCCTCTTTTTTGAAAACTTACAAATTAGGGCGCCTGGGTGGCTCAGTTGGCTGAGCGACTGCCTTCAGCTCAGGTCATGATCCTGGAGTCCCGGGATCGAGTCCCGCATCGGGCTCCCTGCTCAGCGGGGAGTCTGCTTCTCCCTCTGACCCTCCCCCCCCCATGCTCTCTCTCTCTCTCTCATTCTCTGTCTGAAATAAATAAATAAAATCTTAAAAAAATTTTAAAAAAATAAAAAAGAAAACTTACAAATTAAGAGGGACTTGGTTTGTGAAATTTAACCAGTAGTTGAGATAAAAAAGGAAGTTCTATCATGCCTATATTTTCTATAGGAGAGACTTCAGTTTTATGAAATAGGTATACTCCTAAAAAGCAGAATAATCAGTGAATCTTTGTAAAGACTAGTAGCATTTTATTATTGACAATGATTTTAAAGGAAATCCTATACATCGTATTCTTCTATCTGTAAAATATATATCAAAGATAAGGATACTAATTTTTTTTTTAACATAAACCCAATACTATTATTACATCCAAAAGTATCTAACAGTTCCTTGGGGGCACCTGTGTGGCTCGGTTGGTTAAGCATCTGACTCTTGATTTTGGCTCAGGTCATAATCTCAGAGTCATGAGATTGAGCCCGGCATCGGGCTCCGTGCTGAGTGCGGAGCCTGCTTCAGATTCTCTCTCTCCCTCTGCCCCTCCCATCAGCTTTAAATCTTCCTTAATTATTTCATAAATGTTTTTATAGTTGTGTATTGAATGTAGCATGAAGTTCATATTATATTTGGTTGATATCTTGTTGAGTTTTTTTAAATTTCATAGGTTCCTCCTCCCTGCTTCTTTATGTCATTTATTTGTTTGTGAAACCAGTGTTATGGGTCAAATTGTGTCTCTCTAAAATTCATGTCATGAAGCCCTAACCCCCAGTACCTTATGATGTGACTGTATAGCTGACCTTTGAACCATGTGGGGATTAGGGGCACCAACTTTCCACAACATCAAAAATCTGCATATAATTTTTCTTTTCTTTTTTTTAAGAGAGAGAGAGAGTGCAAGCTTGAGAAGGGGAGGTGGAGAGAGAGAGAGTCTTAAGCAGACTCTGCGCTGAGTGCGGAGCTTGATACGGGGCTCGATCTCACAACCCTGAGATCATGACCTGAGCTGAAATCAAGGGTTGGATGCTTAACTGACTGAGTCACCCAGGTGCCCCCACATATAACTTTTCAACTCCCTCAAAACTTAACTACTAATGGCCTACAGTTGACCAGAAGCTTTACTGATGACATAAACAGTCAATGAACACATATTCTGTATGTTTTATATATATATATTTTAAAGATTTTATTTGTTTGAGAGAGAGAGAATGAGAGATAGAGAGCACGAGAGGGAAGAGGGTCAGAGGGAGAAGCAGACTCCCTGCTGAGCAGGAAGCCCGATGTGGGACTCGATCCCAGGACTCCAGGATCATGACCTGAGCCGAAGGCAGTCGCTTGACCAACTGAGCCACCCAGGCGCCCTCTGTATGTTATATATCTTATATATGGTATTCTTACAATAATGTAAGCTAAAGAAAAGATGTTAAGAAAATCATAAAGAAAAAAAAGAAAAGAAAATCATAAAGAAGAGCAAATGCATTTACAGTGCTGTCCATACTGAAAAAAGTGCATGCATAAGTGCACCCATGTAGTTCAAACCCGTGGTGGTCAAGGGTCAACCGTGTTTGGAATGAAGGTCTTTAAAGATGTGATTACAGCTGAATGAGGTCACTAGGGAAAGTCCTAATTTCATATGACTGGTGTTCTTATAGGAGGAGGAGATTAGGACACAGACATGCACAGAGGGAAGAGGCTGTGAATACACCGGGTGAGAGCCATTGTCTACACACCAGGCAGAGAGGCCTGCCCTCTGGCCCTGGATCTTGGACTTCCAATCTCCAGGGCTGTGGGCAAATAAATATCTGTCCTTTCAGCCCCCAGCTGTGGCACTTTGGTAATGGCAGCCCTGGCAGGCTAGAACACAGACATTTGTCTTTTTTTTTTTTTAAAGATTTTATTTATTTATTTGACAGAGACACAGTGAGAGAGGGAACACAAGCAGGGGGAGCGGGAGAGGGAGAAGCAGGCTTCCTGCCGAGCGGGGAGCCCGGTGCGGGGCTCAATCCCAGGACCCCGGGATCATGTCCTGAGCCGAAGGCAGACGCTTAACGCCTGAGCCACCCAGGCGCTCCCACAGACACTTGTCCTGTTGAAGTTCCCGGGTTGTGGATTTGGCTGGATTTAACATGTTCCCTGCCTCCCCTATTCTTCCTGTAAGCCAGTGGTTAAAATCTGGAGGCTGGAATTGGTCCAGGTTTGATTTTTGGTGAGCATACTTGGTGTGTCCTTCCTGTTGTATGACACCAGGAGGCATGTGAGGACTGATCATCTCTCCTTTTATGGTGTTCAGAGTTTCACACCTTGGTCAGCTTGATCTCTCCATTATCCATGCCCCACCAGCTTTTCATTTAATGGATGCAGGATCAGTATCAAGATACAGCATTTCACTGGGGCTGTAAAGTGATGGCATTCTAATTCTGTCATTCCTGGTGCACTTAAATGTTGAGATCCATCTGTAAAAAAGATTTTGTTTACCTCTTTGTTCAGGAAAAGCAGGTGAAATACGTGAGTGCTTCCTTTTATTTCTACTTTTCAGGAGATTGTGTTAGTTCTCTATTGTTCTCCAAGATGATCAAGGAGGTTCTCGTTTTATTCTGTTTTGGTATCATTAATGAACGTATGGATTTTAACACTTTGTTAGGGTTTAATCCACTGGAGTAATTATTCTTTGTGATATTTTTTGTCCCTTCTTTGGCCAGTGGATGTCCAGTAACCTCTAATGATTTCCTTGTTTTGTGCTATTATTTCTTATTGAAGATGTTCCAGGATGTGCTTGCATGTGTCCTGAGACCTGGATTCGACCATGTCTCCAAGGGGCTTGGTCCTTTGTGCAGAGAGCCCATTATGGGTGCCAGGTGCCCTTGCTGCCCTGCTGGCCATTCTTCCCAGGCCTTCTCTGGGAGAGAACACATCTGTTCTTGTTGTTTTAAAAGAAAATATTCATCATGGAATCATATTGATATTTCTAATTCTCCTTTTACTTTTTCATTTCACATTTGTGTCTTTTTTCTCCTAATGCTGAAAATATTAGTTCCTAATGACATTAATATGATTACAATATTTTTCTCCACTTTTTAAATATGTAACATAGAGGCTCTACAACACTAAATGGAGATTTTCCTTATTTCTTCATCCAGCTGCCTGTGGATGGACCGGCTTGATCTGCCCAGTAGCGTGCTGTTCCCAGCTCTCCGTTCTTTCAGTTAGTGCTGCAATGCCTGGCACTGTGCACGTGTTATTTCCTGCTTTTTCCAGTGTGTCCTTGGGATAGGCCCCTGGGGGGGTTGTGAGGCTGAAGGATAGGTTCACATGCAGTTTCGCAGACATTGCCAAATTCCTGGCTTTGGAACCGTGCTGGTCTGTGTGCACACTAGCAGGGTATGCATGCACCTGCTTCCCCAGGGCCCCACTGGCAGAATGGGTTCTCAAACTGAGTCTTTGTCCACTTGTCAGTAGTTTTGCTTTTCATTTCTCAGTGGAGAAAAATCACTTTTTAAAAGAAAAATAAGAAAGGATACTTAAGATTTCACAACATGCCAGTACTCTACTTAAACATAAAATACATAAAAGCTGCCTTATGGAGGAAATCTTCCTGTACGAAAGCAGGAAACTGAGACACACTGATAAATGGCAGAGCTGCGACTCAAACCTAGGTCGTGTGGCTCCAGCATCCGCTCCCATGGCTCCAGCCTCCTGCCTCCCCCAATGCAGGCACGCCGCCGCCAGGAGTAACATGACTAACAGTGCTGGTGTGCTAAGGAAAAGGTCAGTTTTCCTGTCTAAGGCATCATGCAGGCTGTGTTAAAGCAAATTCAGTGCCTCAAATGGCATGTTGTGGATTTTCAGTGTTGAGCACATACTTATTGGTTGGTTCATTCATTTCTTCAGTAAATATTTATTGAGCACCTACTATATGCAGGTACGATATCAGGAGCTGGAGACACATGGCCAACAAGATGAGTGGGGCGTCTGCCTCCAGGGCTGGTTTATCTTTCTAGACCTCAAAAGAAAGTTTTCTATAATTTGTTATTTTCATACTGAATTTAATAACTATTTAAATCTTTCTATATAAAGGCATTAACACATAACATAGCCTTTTAAGTGAGTTTCCTTGATTTTATTTATTATTTTGCTGTTACAATTTGTTCTTCAGAGAAAAACTCCTTATTATTTGTCTGCTGTTGTTCCTGTATATAAGCCTGCTGGTATTCTGACAGAAAGTGTTTATTTTCTATTGTGTAGTTCATGCTCTAGTCATTATAGTTTTATTTATGGATCTGGTAGTTATAGGAAATTAAATAATAAACACAATGCTTCTATCTTAACAAGTGGTTGTCTATGGTTAAAGGGCTTCCTGATTAGTAACCAGCTATAAATCTAATTTCCTGTTGTGTTAGTGGACCCGAATACTCTGCATAGTATTTTACTAAATGTGGAGAAATTAGATGTAATTTTAGATTTTTTTCCCCACTGTTTATTGTCATGAATGTGTCCGCATGCCCCCTGTGGTTTGTAATGTGCTTGAACACATACAGGGCACATCCGGATCTCAGACCTGGGTTTAGCCATGGAGATCCCGGAAGGGGGGACCATCCGAGGAAGAGTGGGGACCGTCGGCTACATGGGTATGTGAATGGCTACTTCCAGATCCCTGTGCTTTCTCTCTGGATGCTCGCGTCCTCACAGTGCAGAGAAGTTCTAAGCCAGTTGGAGGGAGCACGGGTGGTGTTGGAACTCTGTACGCGACCAGTGTTGGGACCACAGAGGAGTCCTCCTGTCTGCCCTCCTGTCTTACAGAGACCAGGGGGGAGGCCGGCAGAGGTCCTGCAGCAGCTTGAGGGTAGAATCAGGGCAGGACGGGCCCTCACTCTGCTGCTGCCACCATCCTGGGCACACTGGCCTCTCCGGGCCCTTGTGAACTCGTGGTTCCCTGGTTATTGCAAAGCCTCTGTGACTGGGAGGCCCTGGCCTGGGATCAGCTCCCCGCCTGGCAGTGCCAGCCTGACCCTGGTGTGGCCTCTGACATGAGGGACCCCAAGGGCCATGTCTGCCGTCACCTGCTGCGGGGATCAGCGCCCTTGGGGCACCCGTGGGTGTGGCTCTGCATGTCTGAGGGAGCACCCTCCTCAGGAGGCAGGGTCTTCCCTAGAGGACCAGTTCCCTGTGTGTGTTACTCTGTGGCTGCTCATTTCGTGCCCTGGGGATAGCACAGACTGTTTTCAGTAACCCATTTGTTGAACTATAAGTCACATACCATAAAATCCACCACTCCCAAGTGGACACTTGAGTGGATTTCAGCACGCACACAGAGCTGTGCAACCACCACCACCAGAAAGAGACCCCAGGCCCATCAGCACCCCTCCAGCCCCGGTCCGGCAGCTGCTCGCCCACTTTCTGTCTCCATGGACTTGTCTCTTCTGCTTGCTCCATATAAATAGGGTCACACACTCTTGGGCTTTCTGTGTCTGTCTTCTGCCCCTTAACACATTTCCAGGGTTCATGTTGTAACAAACATTAAGTTTATAATGTGTTATTTGGAATTAATTACCAGAAAATTTAAAAACCAAAATTTAACTTAAATTTCCCTGTATTTGTTATGTAGCTCCTGAAGTTATCAATAATGAACACTATACATTTAGTCCTGATTGGTGGGGACTTGGCTGTCTGATATATGAAATGATTGAGGGACATTCTCCATTCAGAAAATTCAAAGAGAAAGTCAAGCGAGAGGAGGTGGACCGAAGAGTGAGGAAGGACACCGAGCAGTATTCGGAGAAGTTTTCGGAGGATGCCAAGTCTATCTGCAAGATGGTGGGTCGGGCTCTGGGGAGGTTGGGGTGGAACCCCAGCTCATTGGGGTCGTTTCCACTAGCAGTCTCCCCACCACACAGCCTCCGGCAGGGAGAGGGCCACGAGTCCTGGCCTCGCCTGGGAAGTGACGTGATTGGGCCTCCAACCAATGGGAGCAAAGCAGAGCAGTGCCTTGTTAGATTTCTCAACAGGTTCCCCTGAGAGGGAAGAGTGGTGCCAAGGTCACTCATTTCCTGTGAAACTAAAGATCAAAGAGAACCTTGTTTCTTAGGAACAATGAGGTTTTTCTGTCTGCCCACGTTTCTTTCCTCTTTAACTGGCTGCCAGGGATCGTGTCACAATAGACACCCCGACGTGATGGGCCGCCACGCGTCTGCCACCTTCCTGGATGCGTTAAGGGGCCCACGAGGCTGCGTGCCGCAGAGGGAGGAAGACGAGGACAGAGCCTGCGGGGCTGGGGGCAGGCAGGGCAGTGGTTGAACCGTGGGGGGTGGAATCACAGTGGGTTACAGGAGGATGCGGAAGGGGGCCTCAGGGCAAAGTCAGGAGGCTAGAGGCAAAGGTGTAAGCACTGCTTATTGGAGCCATGGCCCCTCTCGCCAGACCTGGAAAGTCTGGGAGGGCACGGAGAGGAAAGCGGGGCTGGCTCGTCATGAAGAGTCGAGGGGGTGGGAATGGAGGCCAGAGAGAGGCGGGCCGTGGGTCCCCAAATGGAACCAGCAGCCGCCGTACCCGTTACTGAAAACGGCAGTAACTTAGGTGAGCTGGGGGTGGCTGGAGATACTGATTCTGTTTCCCCTTCCCTCTTGTTGCCATATGTGGAGTGATGCGTGTTAGTGGTCCTGTCACAAGCAGTGGGACCAGGCTGGCCTTCCCTCCCGCCAGCTCATTCTGCGTGGAGCTGGCCGTGGTTAGCCAGCCCCTCCAGGGTTGACAGCGTTCTGGCCAAGCTGCTATTTGACCAGGTGCTTGCCACCTGCCAGACACTCTGCTAAGGGCTGCAGGAATGTAAAAATGTAAGTTGGAAGCAGAGCCTGTCCCTAAGGAGCTCACAGTTCAATGGCAGGCCTAGAACAAACATGAAAAATAACTATGGTGAAAAAGCAGAATTTGATGGGTGCCATAAACAAGAGAGAAAAGAGGGCTCAATGGTTTTCAGGATGGAGAGATGCTGTGTTCTGGTAAGGGTACCGGGGAAGGCAGGTGCCTGAGTGAGAACCAAGGTTGGGCCTCAGAGCTCAGGGGCCACACCTCAGCTCCCCGCACTGGGCTTCCCTGTCCAGCCTCTGGTTTCTTGTCTGACGTGTGCATGGTGATAGCGTCGCCCTCACAGGCTCGCCGGGAAGGGGCGATGCAGGAATGCGTGTGACCGGCCTGGTGACACACAAATCCTCAGGAGCTCCTGCGAGCAGAGACATCTGGTTCTTGGAGAGTTGGTTCAACCCTGGCAGATGGGGGCTAGAGGAGAGAGCATCTCAGGAGGCAGGGGCATTTGCAGAGGACAGCGGCTGCGGGGACAGGGCCGGGCCCCGTGCCCAGTGCGCTTGCAGAGGGGGGGCTCACCCCTCACCCACGCAGGCTTATGCATGGCTCCTTGCCCTCTCTGCCTCTCCTGCCCAGCGCCTGCTCCCAGCACGCTGCGCCCATGCTGAATGAGTGAGCAGACGTGGAGTGAGGTCAGTGTTGTACTTGTGCTGGAGAGCAGAAGGAAGGGCTGAGGAAAAGCCGGCTCTTTACACTGACCCAAACAGGCGGCCAGAGCAGCGCCTGACATGTGGACGGACACCTGTCTGTAGTTTTGAAAGCTTTTGATGTATTATCTTATCTGACCCTCGGAGTGGACTTCTAAGGGGTTTTCTTAGCCTCACAGTTGAAAAATTGAGAATTCGATTAAAAAAAAAGATTTTATTTTATTTTTTTTTAAAGATTTTATTTGAGAGAGAGAATGAGAGAGAGAGAGAGCACGAGAGGGAAGAAGGTCAGAGGGAGAAGCAGACTCCCCGCTGAGCAGGGAGCCCGATGCGGGACTCGATCCTGGGACTCCAGGATCATGACCTGAGCCGAAGGCAGTCGCTTAACCAACTGAGACCAAGGAGCCCGATTTTATTTATTTTAGAGAGAGAAAGAGAGAGAGAGAGAGAGCATGTGCACGCGCATGAGTTGGGGGAGAGGCAGAGGGAGAGAGAATCCCAAGCAGACTCCCCGCTGAGCACAGAGCCCCTGACCCTGAAATCACGGCCTGAGCTGAAATCAAGAGTCAGCGGCTTGACCGACTGAGCCGCCCAGGTGCCCCTAAGAGTTTGATTTCTGTGACATGCCATAATGGGATGTCAATGGGCAAACTTGAACTCAGACGTTCTGAGCACAAGTCCAAGGCCATCGGATAGGTGTGTGTCAGCAGCAGGGTTGATAATGGAGTCCTGGAGCCCCTGAGACGCTGGGATTGTATTTGGCATCACACTGAATTCTCAGATCTGTTTTTAATGAGCAAAGCGTACCAAGAATAACTGCACTGAGCACATCTTGTCGAGCCCTTGCCCTGGCGAGGTGTGGGGGCTGCCCCAGTGAGTGGGATTTCCCACAGCCCTGCCTCTGGAGGTGTGGGTCCCGCCAGGAGGGACTGGCCCTGAGTACTTCCCCAAGTGATGGCGTCACACCAGGAGGGACAGGTGTCCTGAGGGAGCATGCTCTGAAGGTAGGAAGCTGGAGCCCGGCTCAGCCAGGCGAAGGCTCTTCTAGACAGAGGGCATAGTGCATGTGCAGGCTGTGAGGAGGTGAGCGAGGGAGGGTGTGTGCTGCATCCAGAGTTCACACAGTGAGGGCTGCAGGGGTGTGCGGGCCAGTGCACACATGCCAGACGCAGAATGTGCTCGGCTCTTTGCCTGGGAGTTTGGTTTCTCTTCAGAAGAGCGGTGGGTGCGGGCTATGAGGCAAGGCCAGGGTCAGCAGACTTCTCTGTGAGGGGCCAGATAGTGAGTCATACTTAGGCTGGGCTGGTTCCTCGCACAGCTGTGGAGCCCCACCACTGTAACGAAACAGCATGGGCCGGGCTGTGTTGTGCTAAAACCTCCTTGACAGGGTCAGGCAGCTTCCCGGCTGCAGTCTGGCCATGCTGTAGAGCTAAATCTGTCCTGTTTTGCTTTGAGCACAGCCAAACCTTTCTGACTGATGATAACTGTGGATGAGGGCCCATTTGGTGAAAATTATGAACGTATGAGTAAGGAATACTTTTGAAAGAGATGCTGTCCATTTTAAGAATATACAATTTCTAGAACTTGGTTTGTCAAATTTTTGCCTCATCTGAGCTCCTTAGTGATCTATTTAATGAATAGATTAAAATAGTTTCCAATTATAAACATAACTGAGCATTAAAATGGTATCTGTGAAGTTCTTGACAGTTCCTATTTCTTTCTAAAGAGCCCCCTAATTTTTACATGGCTAAAACTTTTTCCTTAAGGATTTACTTAGCCGACCTTTATTTATTGGTAGCTCAAAGGCTGTTATATTAGTTTCCATTCCTTTTTGAAGCATCGTATATTCTAAACTTGTGAAATCTGAATTAAGGAGGTTTGGTTGAAACTTTGAAATTTGAGTAACTTTGTTTAGATGGAGGCGCTCTTTGCTACCCCTGATTCTTTGCTTATTATTATGGAGACTTTCCGAGTTCTCTCTTCTATCCTAGGAGCTTAAATTGACTCCATTTCTGCCTCTTGCAGTTACTCACCAAGAATCCCAAACAGCGGCTGGGCAGCAAGGCTGGAGCGGCAGAAGTGAAAGCTCACCCCGTGTTCAAGGACATTAATTTCAAGAGGCTGGAAGCAAATATGTTAGATCCGCCTTTCTGTCCTGATGTAAGTACGTTGCCCAGGAGCAGGGTGTCCAAGAAAATGGATCCACGGAACCCCATGATTTTCCAGCAGATGCAGAAGCGCTGGTTCAGCCTGGCTGTGCTTCTGCTTGGGTGCTTTCTCCCAGCCCCCGGCCACTCACCACACTGTCCTCACAGGTCCCCACAGGCCTCCCTGCTCAGAGCCCCAGCACCACTGCATGACCTCCTCGCCAGGCCCTGCAAGGCCTTCTGTGTGACAGCATCCCCTTTCTTGTGTCAGGGCCTTTAGTCTGGGAAGCCCTTCCCCTCTCCATGTCTCCTAGGTCTTGGCTGCACACTGCCCACAGGGAGCCCTGGAGGTCACCTGAGCCTCCTGTGAGCCTGCTGTGGGGCCTACTCAGGGGCCATGTCCACATGCTTAGCACAGGGCCTGGCTTGGGTCGGTGCTTGGTGGGAACACCTGCAGGCAGGAGATTCCTGCTGAGGAAAGCAGAAATGAACGACAGCAGTCTGGGCTGTCTTCTTAACGGTCTGCTACCTGTGCATTCCAGAAAGGTGGAGATAATTCTGCAGGGTATGATGGAACTGGGGTGTACAATTAAGACATTTTTAGTTGTACAAGTCAGGACTTACTATGTTTTCATATTCCAGTATGTTGTAGTAGTACCTCCTTCCTTTGAATTAGTTCACACGTTACATGTTTACTGAGTGCCCACCACCTGCTAGACACAGATGGAGGCATTAGGACCCGCAGGGAGCACAAGAAAACCAGGTGTTGCCACTGTGGTGCTCGCTCCAGCCTGCAGACCAGCCGACAACTGAACAGGGATGGCGCGCCCCAGGGACTTGACACGGCTGTGCGGTCTGAGAGGAGCAGGGAAGGCAGTTTTCAGGGAGCAGCAATGACTCCCCTTGCTGTGCTCAGAGGCCTGGGGCAGGGCCTGCCAGGTCGGGGCTCTGGGGCTGACGTTCTGGGTATTCTACTGAATGTGACCAGAGGAACCGTGGGGGCCCGCTGACAGGGGAGTCCCATGGTAACGGGTCAGGGGGCAGGATGGGGTTCTGGGCCTTCAGCCTGGGCTCAGGCCTCCCCAGCCTTCTTCTGGACTGTCTCCTGAGTGGTGCTGACCAGGGTCCTACGGGATGTCCCTTCTTGGATCGTGCAGGTTCCTGCACGCAGGCAGGGCGTTTCTCAAAACTGCCAGGGGCCTCTTGCATGACCACGGTTTGGCCGGTAGCTGGACTCCGGGGCTTTTTGTTCCCCATTTCCAGGAGCTTAGGTGGCTGGGCTGGAGGGGACCGTGGCCCAGGCTTAGATGCGCCATGCTGGCTTGCCGCTGAGGGCAGCACAGCCAGGGTGGGTCCTGCAGGCCAGGGCTCCTGTCCCAGAGGAGGGGTGGCTGGAGGCCATTAGATGAGCTCTGACAGGAGGTCGAGAAGCGGGACCTGCCCTTGTTCACTTAGACTTTGCGTGGGGCGCTTCACGTGAAGGAGGCCAAGCGTCCCATGGCCCTTCATCCTGCCCCTTCCTGTCACCCATTTCCCACTGCAGGAAAGGGAAAGGTGGAGGCCTCGGGAGGTTTGCGGACCAGAGGGAGTCCACGGGGTTTGTGACTGAGGAGAGCTCCCAAGAGGGAGGGAAAGGCCTCAAATATGGTGTGAATGCGTCGATTTCACATGCGCTGTGTTCTTAGTAATTAAGGAGACTAAGAATGACTCCAGTCATCCCAGAGGCCAACGCCTCTTTGTTGTTGGTGCATAGCCGCATGCCATTTACTGTAAGGACGTCGTGGATATCGAGCAGTTCTCCACGGTGAGAGGAGTCTACCTGGACACCACGGATGACACGTTCTACAGTCAGTTTGCTACGGGCTGTGTCTCCATCCCCTGGCAGAATGAGGTACTGCCGGTTTATACTGGGTACAGTGCCAGGAGAAAAAAATTGTGTGTGCGCCTGTGTGTGTGTGTGTGTGTGTGTGTGTGTGTTTGGAGGTAAGATTATGCGAGGCAGCTGCCCTGCTCCCTGCACAGGAGGGGGACAGTTCAGCATTGGGGTCCCACTTTCAGAGTGGGCCTGGCCAGCGCCCGGTCCTTACCTGCTCTGGGGGTGCACTCAGACGGAGGAGGAGGAGGCTGTGTTCCCTACCCCAAGCATGGGAACGGGAGTGGCCCCCGCCTGCTGAGCTGTGTGTTGGGCGGGAAGTGGCTGACTGACCTCGCAGTGTCTCTCCCCTTCTCTGTCCTGCTCTTGTGTGGACGCAGATGATCGAATCGGGTTGTTTTAAGGACATCAATGAAGAGGAGCCTGAAGAAGACATGGTGTTGAATATAGAAGAGAAAACGTATCCCAGACCGAAGAGAGGCTTCTTCTACAGACTCTTCAGGAGAGGGATAAGGGTAACAAGCATTTTGTTATGTTGGTTTTTTTTTTTTTTATGGGATGTGTTAAAAGAAAAGAAATATTTCACCAAGGTAAAAAACTTTCTTTTCTCAGATTTCTTATTAAGATATTTCACATAATTTAAGAGCTCTAGCCCTATGGTGTGATTTGAGCCCCACCAGGAAAATCCTCACTATGTCGTTTGCTGTTGGTACGAAGACTCTGTTCTGATGCGCAAAGGCAAACCGGCTCGCTGACATGCAGCCACAGACCCGTCCTTCAGTGAGGAGGCACGCGAGCTTGCTCAGAACTGTCATGTAGGCTGGTCGTGGAGCAACCACGTCATGTAGCTCTCCATCCTCCCGCTCCTCCTTGGCCACTGCTCCCTCGCGGGCTGCTCCCGCACAGGATGTACAAGAGTGTGCTGAGAGACTCCTGGGTGCCATGATACTTAGAATGTTTCTCCTAGTCAAGTTTTCCTCCTTGGACTAGTGTATCACCTTGCTTCATACCCTGTCCATTCTCAAAGACTTTATTCAGAGGTTGTCCACTAACATTCGAGTCCATCTTTGTTCAGTATGAAAAACAAGCCTTAGGTGGGAAAGGTCTGTCAGGGCATGTCCACCAGGACTTCATTTCCTCGGAGAACCGGGGCCAGGCGTGAGTTAGCGCTGTGGGTCTCCCGGGGAGCCGGTCTCTCTGTGCAGAAAGTCCTGCCTGGACATGCTCCACACGCAGGCCCGCCCCGTGCAGGGGGAGCCCGGGCCTCATTCCCTTGCAGTACTCAGCTCAGGTCATGCAATTGCATTGAGTGTGCAACAGAGAAAGCGAATGTGAGACACTGTGTATGTGTGTCTGTGTGTTTGTGTGTGAACTGAGCATCCTCCGTACCGGGAGAGGAAGTGTGGAACTCAGCCTTAATGTCAGTGCCCCTGTCCTGTGGTTGTAAACTCTCGCGTCCACCACAGGAGAGTGGAGTGGGCGTGCGTTAGGTAAGTGACTGATCCCGCTGCTCTGCCGTGTTGCAGGGCTGCATTAGCGGTGGCCCCAGCGAGAAGGAAGAGTTGCCCGCAAATCTGTGACCACTCACTGCAGAGCCCGACCCAGCACCAAGGAGCCTGTGCTTAGCGTTTCATCCCGTCCCTGAGCTGCAATAAACACATGACACAGCTTAACACGAGCCGTGCGTCTGCAGATGTCTCTATATTCGTACCTGAATCATGTGTTCACCAAAGCTGGGTTGAAGGAAAAGGCACTTGAGGACTGTTCTGATGCCCAGAAGCCCCGTGTGGACATCTTGTGGCGGGGGCCCAAGGCCCCATGTGTGCCCACAGAGAGGGGAGAAGAGTGGGCGTGGACATCAGCTCAACAGTGTCCAGAGCCAAGGGTCGTGTTCCTCACCCCAGAGTGTCCTCTGGTGCCCACCAAGGTGGGAGGCAGGGGTGCCCCCTTTCCCCAGAAAGTCTTTGCCTTTCTGCATCCACACCGACATCCGCTTACTTGCCAAGATTCTCCTGTGTGAGGAGTGCGTGTTCCTGTGCACGCGCGTAAAGAGGGTGTGGGCAGGACTCCGGGCCAGGGCTTGGCTGTCGGCCGCTGCTTCCCCAACTCCGGCAGCCTGGGAGTCTCCCGGACTGTGCGGTGCCTTCGGGCCTGAAGCACAGGGGAAGGCGGGGCTGGGAGAGGCCCGTGCTTGGGCCGAGGGCGACAAGCCCCCTCCACGCTTAGCAGTTTAGGAGCTCACTTCCCACACAGGCTAAGGGATGTCGGGATTCCAGGGTCAGTAATCCTTCCCTCTGCCAGGACTGCCCCAAGAGGAAGGTGGCCCCTTCCCCGTGGTGGGAACGTGGGCTCTGTTGCCTGGGGAGGGGAGCTGGCGCCCACAGGCCTTGTGAAGACCATGGGGGGCATGCAGATTCTGGGGGGAGGTAGCCCCGAGGCACCGAAGCGGGGCTTCCTCCCCTATCCGCACGTGCGAGGCCCGCAGCAGGGGCTGGGTGAGAAACCAGGGGCCAGGCCTCTGTGACTCTCACCAAACAGCAAGGACTTGGTCTGGATCCGGAGACCCCGCCACATGGCTGTGTGCAGGAAAGTGAGCCGGGGTCAGCCGCGTGCCCGGGTTCAGTGTTGCTGTCCTGCAGCTGTGTGTCCCCAGGCACCTGAACCCAGACGGTGCTTCCGGGAGTGCTGGTGACGTGTGCACGCATGTTCATGGCTGTCTGGAACACAGCAGCCCTGGGGCCGCGCTTCAGAGGAAAGCACCCTGGCCGTGTCCTGCGAGACCAGTGGAGGCTGATCCTCAGCTTGCTTTGTATCCGGGTGGGGAGAGGGAGGAGTGACCTTGGGGTCCGGGGCCTTTATTTTAGGGATGGCTTCTCTTCAGATTGGGGCCCTCATCTCGGTTTGAGGACAGCAGGAGGTGGGGGACGGAGGCCCAAGGCCTTCATAAAGCATTTAGTAGAGTGTTTGGTATGTGCTACCCACTCAGTAAATCCGTTAATAATTGTGGAAGAGTAATGCGTGCTCATCGTAAACAATGCAGGATGGTTTAAAGAAAATAGAAATCACCTTTATTCCTACAACCTGCTTATATTCTGAGACCTTTTAGACCTTCTGTTATCAGTGTGGACATAGGGGCAGTGGTGCGCTTGTCTGCCCCATCCCTGCCCGGTCACCATGGGGTGGAGAGCCCCTGCCCGCAAAGCCCTGGCAGGGAGGGAGCCTGGGGGCCTGTCTGTGCCTGTGGGGCACAGCTCTGGAAACCAGTTAAGTCCTTTGTCCCCCCCCTTTTTTGTCTGCTTAAGCGAGTCTGAGTTGAGCGCCCCCATGCCTGAGAGAAGCATCCTGACTGAGACAGCAAATCTGGGAAAGGATTTTATAAACACGGAACTTCACATATTGATATGTCATTGTCTTCCTCCTCTGGTTATAAGCAAGCACATATATATTAAGGAGAGTTTTGAAATTAAAGCGTACACAATGAAAAATTCATCTTTAATAGCCACTATCCAAAGATAATCCCTATCAGCATTTTATTCTATATTTATGTAATCTGTATTTATTTCTTCCCATGTCATTTAATATCTGTCTCAATTTTTTCTGCACATTTAGGACATCATTTATCAATTGTTGCTTCCAGCTTCCTTGTTATTATAAACACCCATGGGATGGACAGCCCTGTACCTACATCTTTGTGCACATATATGATAATATTTTTAGGATAGATTTGTAGCGGGGAATCCCTTGGTTAAACTGTATGAACAGGGGCCCCTGGGTGGTTCAGTTGTTATGCTTCTGCCTTCAGCTTGGGTCGTGATCCCGGGGTCCTGGGATGGAGCCCCACATCAGGCTCCCTGCTCAGCGGTGAACCTGCTTCTCCCTCTCCCTCTGCCTCTGTGATCTATCTTGCTCTTGTTCTCTCTCATATAAATAAATGAAATTAAAAAAAAATAAAATGTATGAACAACTGGAGTAAACCCTATAAGAAAGAGCTAAAGGGATTAAAAGTGGCTCTGTCTGGCAAGCGTTTCTCCTGGGACGGGCAGCAGTGGGCCGGAGGAGAGCTGTTTTCCTTATAAGCACTGTCTGACTTGTCCTTTCGACCATGTCTGTGTATTATTAAGATAAAAATAAACATCGCATTGTGAAATTGTTTGTTTTCCCCAAATAAAGCACAATTACACTCTAAAAAAGATGTGTGGACATTTTAAAAGAATTTATATTATATACCCATGTGAACAAATTGCCCTTCTGAAAATTTTAAAAAATTTCCTCTCCAGCCAAAAATGTCTAACAGTTCCCTGTTAGTTTCACCAAAAACTAGATTTTTCTTTTGGTGAAGAGTTTCATTAGAAACAAAGTGTTTCTTTTTCTTTCTTTTTTTTCCTATGGTAAAATATACATAAAATTTACCCTCTTAACATGGTTAAGTGCCCAGTTCAGTGGCATTAAGTACATTCATGTGGCCGTGCAGCCATCTCCACTGTCCGTCTCCAGAACTGATCTTGTGAATCTGGCTCTGTCCTCACTAAACACCAACTGTCCGTTCTCCCCCCGGAGAGGAACTTCACGTATTGATATGTCATTGTTTTGTACTAAGTATTTGAAATCTGGTGTGTATTTTACACCTAACAGCACATCTCAATGCAGAGTCATTACCTTTGTTCAAATGCTTGATAGCCACGTGTGGCCGAAGCGTGGGGCTGTGCTCCCTGTCATCATGTGTGTTTACGGGGGCTCGAAGGGAACAGGGAACACCTGGCTGGCCATGCAGTACTGGCTGACTTCAGGCTCTGGGCAGTGGCTTTGCTGCTAGAAAGAACATCCTGATCCCAGACATCTTTCACCAGGGATCGAGCGTTCCAGAACTTCCAGAACGGGTATCAGCCAGCCTTTTGAGCCCTTCCTGCTGGGCAGCCCACTGCTACATCACTGATCGACTGGGATCCCCAGGGTCACTGCCAAGAGGCAGGCTCGTCTCTCCGTACATACCGCCATGGTACAGTGAAACTACAGAGAGCCGAAGACCCCGAGAAGATGTTAAAAGCAGACAGAGGGGCAAAAAAGACACATCACGCTCAGAGGAGTGGCCATGAAATCAACAACAGACTTCTCAGCAGCCAGAATGAAAAGCAGAAGACAGTGAAGTCCAGATCTTTCATCTGCCGCAGAAAGTTCTCTGCCAACCTTGAATTCTATACCCAACCAAAAATCCATTGAGAATGAAGATAAAGATTTTTTCAGATAAACTGAAACAGAGATTTCAGCAATAAAAGGCCCACTAAAAGTAACTCTATAGGGTGTTTTCCGGGCAGAAGAAAATGATCCCAGATGGAAGATCGGAGATGTAGGAGGGGATGAGGAGTAAGAAAAACAGTAAACATGCAGTCAATGTGAACAAACGTTGAGTGTGCAAACCAACAATTACTGTGTCTGTGTTTTCTGCGGTGCACGTGTGTATACGTACGTAGAACTAAAATACACAGCAGTGACACCCTCAAATGGAAGAAGCTTCAGGGGAGACGGGCAGGAGCCACCAAGGCACCCTTGGGAGCTTGTGGCCCACTCACCCTGTTCCCTGCGACTCTGCCTCACGCCCCACAGGCTCCTACCTGCTTTGGGATTCGGAGTGGGTGCCCGCCCCCAGCTGCAGTATACCCCATTTGTGGGGGGGGGGCGTTGGGGGCTTTAAATATCTCCCTCTCTCCCTGTGCAGGATCATTACAAGTGTGTCGCTAGGCTTTCATTTTTAGCTCCTCACCCAAACCTATTGTTTAACATTTCCCCCCCCAAATAGTAAAAGTTTGTTGCAGAAGATTTGAAAAATACAGAAAGACAGAAGGATTAATATATAAATCACCTCTGCCTGTTTTTAAGGCTTTGGGGACACCAGGCCAAACTGCCCACTCAGCTGTGTTCACCTTTAATGGCTCTGATTTGTGACAGTCCCTTTCTATCAGGCTCTCTGGTAAGATTTCCTGTCAGGTTTATAGTAAGTTCTGGGCCGATGACTTTCCTCCTGCCCTGGCTGAAGCAGTCACGAGCTGTTGTGGGCAAATGAGGTCTCATGACTCAGCCTCTCTGGACTGGTTACAGTTTGGTTTAGGAGCGTATAAACAGAGTGGTCCGAAGCACCGGTAGCTTACACACAACAGAATTGTGTTTCTCTCTCACAGTCTCCTCAGGCCAGGCGGGGGCCGCACCTCCACCCTGGCTGCTCCTAGCTCTGTCCTGCCAGGATGTGCTTTTCACCCTTGTGACCCAAAATGACTTCTCAAGCACCAACCAGTATATCCCCATTCCAGGCAGCGGGAGGAAGAAGGTGTGCCCCTTCCTTCCAAGGACACTTTCCAGAACTAACACCCATCACTTGTGCTTACATCTCACTGGCCAGAACTTTTTGGGTCACATGGCTACCGCCAGCTAAAAGGAAGGATGGGAAATGTCTTTTAACTAAGTGAAAAAGTGCCCAGGTAAAACGTCCTATTGCTGAAGGCCAGAGTGGCCATTAGGAGGCAAGGGTACGACTTGTTGTGATGACCGATTTGTGCACCCCCCAATCAGATGCTGAGTCCTAACCCCCAGCATTTCGGATTATGTATTTGGAGATGGGGCCTTTACAGAGGTGATCAAGGTAAAATGAGGTCTTCCGAGTGGGCCCTAATCCAATATGACCCGTGGGTGACCTTACAGGACCCAGACACACACACAGAGTATGTGAGGACAAGGGAGAAGACAGCCGTCTACAGGCCAGAGGGCGAGGGCTCCGGAGAACCAACCTGCCCACGCCGGGATCTCGGACTTCCAGCCTCCAGGACCGGGAGAGGATACATCTCTGTGGTTTGAGCGGCCCAGTCCGTGCAGCTTTGTTACAAGCAGCCCCAGCAAACTTACCTTTTGCTGGGTAACGAGCCACCTCCCGGCTTCTCACCGCACAGCACTGCACGGCCGCCGTGGGTCAGGAGTCCGGGTACCGCCTCACCGCAAAGCCTGCAATCAGGTAAAAGCTGCCCCTCACCTGAAAGCTTGACCAGGCAAGGACCCACTTCCAAGCACACGCGGTATTGGCAGGAATCCATTCTTTGTGGCCTTTGGACTGAAAGCCGCCCGTTTCTCACTGACTTAGCCACGTGGCCTCTGGAACACACACATAGGCCTGCTTCATGAGCGTGTACAGGCCAAGAAAGTAACAGAGCCAGCAAGACGGAAGACTCCATCTTTTGTAACCTAATCCCAGGAGCGCCACTTTGGCCTTATTTAGTTGGTTACAAGCAAGGGACCAGGATCAGGACACACTCAAGGGGAGGGGGCTATTCAAGGGCATGAATAGCATCAATATCAGGAGGGGTCACCGGGGGCCTCTGCGGACCACAGCCCCTGACAGCCTGGGGCCCGGCCATTGTGGGCTGCTGTGCCTGAGGCATCAGGGAACTGGGACCTCGAGGCTGGTGGCAATTACCTGATGTCGCCTCCCCGAAGGGAGCCCTGTCGCTATCCCCTCAGGGGCAATGCTTCTGTGGTGCTGCTGGGCTTCCCTTTATCCCACCGCTTGGGACGATGGACCACGGCGAGAGAAGGTGGAGTTGTGGCTTATGGGCCCGGAGGAGGGCGCTGCCCTGAGTGGGATCCGGAAGATTCATATTGCATACATCACCTGCACCCCTCCCACCGTCGGCAGCTCTCTCTGGGGCCAACCCTCTCCCTGCCGGGCGGGCGGGACGGCTGCCCCTCGATGCCCGACTGTCTTCTGTGGTCCTCTGCTGGCTCACTGACCTCCCTCCAGGGGGTGAGGCTTTGGAGCCCAGGACCCTTCTCCCGGGCCTGCCCCACCCTAAGCGCGAGGTGCCCTACAGACCTCTGGAACGGGGGTCCTCTCCTTGAAGGGGACCCGTTAGGGTCGGGCAGTCATTCCTGTGGGTGGCGCCTCGGGGGTCAAAGCTGCTTCTTGTTGCCCCAGCCACGGCCTCTGCGGGCAGCAGGCACTGACCCGGCAGGTTTTTGCCCCCATGCCGCCCTAGGCCCTCCCTTGCCCTCCGCTCCCCCTCGGGCGGCTGACTCAGCCGGGGGCGGGGCCTGGGCTCCCCTCCTCCCGGAGGGGCACTCCGGGGCTGGGCCCGGCGCACGCACTCCGCCTTTCCTCCCCGCAGGGAGGGCCCGGCCGTCCGGGTGAGCCCCTCCCTCAGCCCGCGCCTCGCTGGGGGTCTCCGGCTCCCAGCCCACCGCCGGTCCTCCTTGCTGCCCCAGGCCGCGGCGACAGGGGTCCCAGCGCAGGGGGACCCTCCCTGACGCACCACGCCCCCGCCCTCTGCCCCGCCCCTCCCCGCCCGGGGCAGGTGCTTCCCCGCCGCGCCCCGCCCCCTTCTGCCCC